AAGTGGTCGTAAGATGGTATTTTCTACACATTGCGTTGCTAATAAAAGCCACCAGATGATGCCTCTGAAGTAATACTGCCCCAATCCCAACATGTTGTAACATATTTTAGTTTTACATTTGTAGTTTTATTTTTATTTATAAACACTTTTCATATGGTTTATTTTTAGAGTTTTATCATTTTTTAGTTATTTGAATAAATTGGGCCTGTTACAAATAAATGCTTTAATTTTGTGTTTTCAATTATTCTGACCTCTGACTACTCTTTTGGTCATAATTTTTTTCTATAGATATTGTTTTTGACTTATTCTAGTTTCATTTGACTCTACACATCCAGGGCTTTAAAATGCATATATGGAAAGCTGGATTTGGAGTTGTTTTTGATTTTTTTATGATTTTTTAAAGTTGAGGCAGATTTAATGAATATTGTTACAAGATTGCATTTAGACTCTTGTTATTTAATAATTGTATTTGAGCTTTTAGATATTATTGAGGCTCGAATTTTGGCCACTTAATTTATCCTAATCAGAACCTTTAAATAAACTAATAAGGTTTTGAATTAAGGGGGGTGTCAGATCAGTGTATTTGTGTGTTTATTATTCCCTTTGAATTGTGTCGCATATACCTAAAGTGTATGAATTTTCATATGTTGGAATATATATATATATATATATATATATATATATATATATGGGCTGTATCTTTGTCGGATAAGGAGCAGTGTGATTGTCGTGCTGTGTGATGATGTTATTGAATGTAAAGTGTAGTGTGAGCTAGAAAATGATTATTAAGTGTGTTATATGTAGTATAATCTAGAAAGTATGGTTAAAAGTTGATATTATCTCAACCGGGAGAGAGATTTGGAGTTTTGGGTGCAGGGTGTCTCGCTTAACTAAGGGTAGTCTTGCCCAAGCGAGAATTAGTTGTGCAGGATTAGACATTATGGAGTGTTCTCGCTCAAGCGAGACAAGATAGATCGCCCTAACTGTCCCCTCGTCCAAGCGAGAAGGGATCTCGCTCAGGCGAGAGAGTCTCGCTCAAGCGAAGAGTCGCAGAAAAAATGGATAACTTTTTGAACCTAATCTTGCCTGGGCGAGAATGCTGCTTGCCCAGGTGAGATACATCTCACTCAAGCGAGGTGTCCCTTGCTTAAGCAAGAATAGCAGAAATCTAAGAGGTTCCAGTGTCTGGTTTTCTCACCTAGGCGATGATGAGCTCACCTAAGCAAGGAAATAGCTCGCTCAAGCAAGAACGTGCAGACCTAGAGGGGTATTTAAGGAGCCTCAGCGCCCCAAAACTTCATTTCTCACCAGACAACCTTTTTCTCTCATTTTCTCTCTGTTCTCTCAATTCTTCTCCTTAGAGAAAACCTTCTCGAAGCCAAATTCCTTTCCAATCAAAGTGAGATCATCTATTTTATTAAGATTTAGGTGAGTTTTTAGAGCTTTGCTCCTGGTCTTTACTCTCATTTCTTACTTTCTTTTTCGCAAATGACTTATACCATGTCGTTCTAAGTAGATCTGAACTGTTTGAGTCATATTTCATACCTAAACGCTTAATCTATTTCTTTGGGACTCACTAGGAGTACAATCTTGGAACTCATTCCAGGTAAGGGGAGATTATTTGAGCTGCTTTATTTGTCTAGTAAATGCTGAGCTATCTAGGAATTTAATTCTATTTTAGCAGAGAATAAGTTGTTGAATGGTCAACCCTAGGTTAAAACCCATAATAGAATAATTGAGTGGATTTCTTCATTGATTAATGAGTACTTAGAATATTGTAATGAGACGTGATCTGCTGAAATACTATTATATATTTGTTGAGAATGTTGAGCCTCATGTGTTATGATGGACTTTTGTTGCTTGACTGTGTAATATAAAATTATTTATGTTTGGGATAACTATTGAAATACGACTGTACAATATGCTGAGACTGATCGATAAGTGTTATAACAGATGTATTTAAATGTTTACTATATGATGTTGTTAGAATTGTATGGAATTTTGGTAGGCAAATGTGTCGAGTGGTAGGCAGGTATGCTGAGTTGTAGGTTCCTTCTGGAGTACTAAGTCTTAATTCCAGTTTGAGCTGAGTTGTTGTTGTTATTATTAAGGTTTATATTGTTGTTCTTGTTGTTATCGTCGTAGTTGTCAGCACTCAGTGAGTTAAAAAGAGTTGTATTGATGAGTAAAAGGTTAGGGAAATTGTTGAATGATAAGCTATTCAAATATTTATGTTGGTAATATATATATATATATATATATATATATATATATATAAATTTACAAAACTTAATGATTATGACTATGTTTCGTAACCTCACCCTTGCATTTTATTTGTGTTGTGTGTGTTTTGCAATGATCGTATTGTGGTACTGAGCAGAGAGGACAAGTACTATAGATATTTTTCAAGCTGAGAGGTCTGACTGAAGAACTTCAGAGACAATAAATTTTTGAAAAAGATTGCATTTTTAGATCGTTTTGTCAATCTCAGTTAGATGATAGATTTAGAATGTTTAGCTACAGTTGAGGAGATGTAATTATTATTTAAAAACTTGTATTTTGAATTTCTCGCTGAATACTTATTATAAATATATAAATTTATGTAATTTTTTGGTATTATATGAAAGTGCCTTAGAACGTTGCTATTTTGTTGATTTGGATTTTGAAGTTCTATTTTTTGAGAAATCTATATTTCTTTCATTGTACATATATTATCTCATAAATAAATAAATGAATTGGGTATAATAATGTGGGATGTCATCGATTCTTTATAAAAACGAAAAAAGGGTCATGACATAGGGTGCGATTAGACACTGAGCTTTTGAGTTTTAGCCGAAATAAGAATTCTTGTTTTTACTTTCTCTCGAATTCTCTCATCCTCTTCTCATTCTTACGTGGATAAAGTGCATCAATGGAAGCCTAAACCTCCCGTTCAATCAGTGGAATCCAAATGTTGTACATTCAATTTCAATTTCGAGCCCAATTGCTCCGAGTTTATTTCCTTTTTCTCTAATCTCAGATTTATATATTGTTATCGTGATTAACTTTTCTGTGGTTAGAATTCAAATTAGGATTCAATTGATATTCTAATTTTATAATTAATTTAGTTTAGGTTAAATGATAATTTGATTTAATCCGTGATCTAGTTTAATTAGGTTATTCGATTGAATTAATAATTGAATTGGGTAAATGTTCAAATTCGGGTTAAAATCTTTAGATACTGTGATAATCAGGATTACAAGCTTTTGGTATCCTGTGGATTGATATTTCTTAATTTGTTTTTGCTCAATTTTAATTTGTTCAAAATTTAATTTTATTAATTCACAGTTTTCAAACTGATGATCGCTCATATTTCATAAGGATTTGTCGCAAATCCTCATCAAAGTATGGAGAAATTTTGTATAGTCTAGGATACAAGCCTAGATTATCTCCAATGACTTTGGTTGAAAATGTGCATTAAACATGTTACAAACATTCACTATGAAAGCAAGTAAAAATTAGGGTTTGTTTGATTTCCAAATTTAATGTAAAAAGCAATTAAGGAAGTTGTAAAAGTCAATCAATAAGACGTAGCAATTCTTAGTTCATTCACGTCATTCTATCCCTATTCCTCTCAACATTTAACACTCTTCCTCTTCCTTTCAATTAGATTAATTCAACAAGTAAAAATCAACCATAAAATCCTTTATAAATTTAAGCAAATTCAATGGACTCCAACCCTTTTTTCTAAGATTACTCAACCTTAGAAATTAACTCAGAATTAAACAAATCAAGTTAAGAATCTCATTAAAATGAATTAGGGTTAATTAAGCAATGTCCCCCTCATTCAACCATTAATTCAATTCAAAGGATTGGGAAAAAGAAATTCATGAAGGAAAAGGAATTGTATTAACATTCATAACCTAGGAATTCAAGAATCCAAGTGAACTCACTAAGGATTACAAAAGATTTAGCCCTTCATAAGGATGGGTCTCACAAATACAAGATGAAAACAAAGAGAACTCAGTGACATGAATGTAAAAGTCAAAGGAAAATAAAGAGAAAAATGTGAATCAAACTTTAGGTTGGGTCCTTGGCTATCACCCCCAAGGCTGACCTAAGCTGTGCAAGTGTTCCCAAAATGGTGAAAATCTAAAAGTGTAAAAAGCTATTTAACCCTAATCTCCAAAAATCTATTTATAGTGAAGTGGTTATCGTCCATAATAGCTACTATGAAAATGATAATAGCTACACGTAGCCTCTCAGTCCTGTCATTCTTCTCTGGAGTTGTCACTACGGCAACGCGTAGCCACTATGGATTTGAAAGTGACTATGCACAGCACTGTATCAGTTTGGCCCTAACTGTAGTTGTCACTATGGGGTCTGAAAGTAGTAACGCGCAGACTTATTGCAATCTGGGGTCTTTATAGTGTTCACTATCACTTTTCAAAGTGATCACTTTGATCTACCCTTTGGATCTAGCTTGCTATAGTGTCCACTATTCTGAAAGTGGCTACTTTCAACTCAAATTTTCTCAAAGGTTAAAAATCCATGGAATAAGTCTAGAAATTCCTGCTCAATTATTCAAATGATCAAAATTGCAAATTATATATATGTAAATCAATGTAAATTAACCAAAAATTAAGAAATCTATGATAATTGACCTAAATGGAATTTTCATCTTATTTACACTTTCTAAGTTTATTTTTTCTATTAAAGAACACTAAAATGACTAGTAAAACTTCAATAAAATATGGATTCATCACAAACCCTCAAAACCTTACTTTCATTCTTTTAAAAAACCTAAAATTGAATTTAACTGAAGATGTGTCTTTGTAAATTGACCTAGGTTAAGCTCTATATTGCAAAATCTTTAGCAAAACTTAGTTGTTTTGATAGCGACTCATCATCGTCTATCACAACACCAAAGGCATCTATATCAATAGTGAATGTTTCATCAAAGTTAGGTAGAGCTAGTGTAGGATAGTTGTCAATGCTTCTTTCAATTGTTGAATGCTTCATCAATTGGTGAGTGGCTTAGCAACCTTCCCATAATTTAGTATGAACCTCCTATAGTAACCTGAGAGTTCCAAAAACCCTCTGAGCTCTTTAATTGAAGCAGGAATTGGCCAATCTCTCACTACTGCAACCTTTGAAGGGTCTGGTTGAACTCCTGTGGAAGAGATGAAGTGGCTCAGATAGTCTACCTGTCCTTTTCCAAAGCTACACTTCTTCTTATTCAAGACTAGGAAGTTGGATTGTAATACTTGTAAGGTTGTTTCAAGCTTCAATAAATGCTCCTCCCAGGTCCTTGTATATACCAAAATATCATCAAAGAATACAAGGATGAAATTCCTCAAGTGCTGTATGAATATATCATTCATCAAGTTATGAAAAGTGGCAGGTGCATTGGTTAATCCAAAGTGTAACATCCTCATTTTTGCTCCCTTCCATGTTCACGTGTGTAATACGATTTCTACTTTTTTTTCTCAAAGATAGTTTAATGTGTTTTATGAAATTTTATGATTTTGGTTAAAGAAATTTTGATATAAAAGTATTTATTTTTTTTTGTTTAAATAATTTGTCGGTATGTGTTTGATAGAGATAGATCTCAATGCTTTGGATTATTTAGAAATCCCATAATTATATTGAGTTCCAAATGCTATACGCACTAGCAGAGATGGTGTAGTAGTAGAAGGGTTAGTCCTTAGTCAGGAGCTGGAAGTCTCTGGTTTCAAACCTCAACAAGGTAGATTTTGCTTCAACAAGTTTTTTTGGAATGAATTGTGAAATGACCAGATTGCCCTCAAAATATCATGCATGCATGAGATAGGTGGCGAAACCATAAGATAGGTGGTGATAGGTGGCAAAATGTGGTGAGCCCTTACATGCGTGATGACATGTGACAGCCATGTGTCAAAGAAGGAGAAGCCCTTGCATGCATGACGCCATGTGTCAACCATGTGTCAAAGAAGGAAGAAGCCCTTGCATACATGACGCCATGTGTCAGCCACATGTCAAAGTAGGAGAAGCCCTTGCATGCATGACGCCATCTGGCAGCCATGTGTCGAAGAAGGAAGACCACCCTTTGCATGCATGACACATATGCAGCCATGTGTTGAAAGCTTGACAAAACCAAATTCATTCTTTCTCCCTCCTGTAAACCTTTCTCTCACCCTCTCTCACGGTTCCTCTCTTCTTCCCCACCACTCACCCTTACTCTTTGAACATCTAAGCAAGGTAAAAACACTATTTCATCCTTGTTTAGATGTTTTTGCACCTCCTCCATAAAAAAGTTTGGAGCTTTTTGCGTCCAGCCATTGTGTGAGTCAGTTCTGACCATTTGAAGGTATTTTTTTTTAGCCTAAACACAGCATATTTGGATTGTTCATTCAAAAATCTTTCCAACACAACTTGTTTCACCCAAAACGGACATCGAATCGTTGAGTTACAAGAAAAACGGTAACACTCCTTCTTGTTTCTGCTTTTTCTGTGTTGCAGCGACAAGTGTAATGCCTCGAATTTTGGTAATATTAATTATTGTTATTTATATAAATCTAAATGCATATATATATATATATATATATATATATATATATATGTGTGTGTGTGTGTGTGTGTGTGTATGTGAGTGTGTGTGTGTGTGTGTGTGTTGATTTAATTGATAATGATGTTTTTGTGTGTAATAAGTATATGGACGTGTGTATTGTGTATATGCATAACTGGTTGGGCTGAAATGGGCTAAGTACCTAAATACAGGGCGAGTGTTGTTCGCAATCTAACACTAGCAAGTGCAATAGGATTGCAGCAAGTGATGAGTAAATTTAAGATCAGAATATCGTCTCCACAGGGAATTTAGGTTTCAAGTACCACTTCACAGAATTATAACCATTTGAGCCATACGAATTTTGGAATGAGATTTATAACATATAACAGCAGTAAACCAAAGCAATTAAAGCAAAGAACTTGCAGAAAAACAGAGTATGTAATGAAATGAGATAGAAATGAAGAATAGTTAGGAATTTACTTCACAAGAATATCAGTATTAATTCAATTATGCCTCTGAACATTCAAGAACTTGGTTAATTGACAATCAGTTTCGCATAGCAATAGCCAAAGGTTAATTCCTTAACTCATTGACCCTAACAAGCAACTAAACCACCCTAGTCCCTTAGGTGAAGTTCAATTCCAAGTTGCATTAAGACTTAGATCCTTAAGATTGCAGAATTAGGTCTCCTTATCCCTAAGAAATCCCCAAATTCTGATTGCTAACTCAGATCAGAGAAGCAAATCCAACTTCCATTGGTAATTGTTCCTCTAAGATGAATCAAATGAATTTCCATTCATAGATTGCAAGAAAAACAGAATTCACCATTCAATTAATCCAAGAACTCAAAATTCAGAAGCAAGAGTCAAATTAATACATCAATTCGAGTTCCATAAACCCCTAACTACAAGAAAACTACTCAGACATGGGAGAAGAGAAAGAAGAAGAAGAAGAAGAACTCTAAGAAGTCATGGCCGGAAGCTCCAATCCGATTCCTCTTTGTGGAAGCTTCAAGACTTGACCCCAATCTTCTCTCTCAATCTCTCTCAACGAGATCTAATAGAAAAACAGAAAAATAAAACTGAACTCTGAAAAATCTGCACGTTTCTGTTATTTATAGAATTTGCGCGTTATCACTTTTATGAGAAATAGTAGCCACGCAGAAGGTTTATGGTTGCGCTTTAACACTTTTATGAGAAAAAGTGTCCACACGCAACTTTCCTGATATTGAAGGCTCTGGAACTATCACTCTTGCTGATAAAAGTGACTACGCAGAGCTCAAGTGGTTGCGCGTGATCACTCTTATGAATAAAAGTGATTACACGCAACTCGCCAGGTTGAAGGCTCTCTGGAACGTTCACTTTCGCTGATAATAGTGGTTACGCAGAGCTTTTCCTGATATTTGCCTCTCTAGAATGCTCACTTTTACTGATAAAAGTGATAACGCCTAGGCTTTCTTCTTCTTTGAACTCTGGAGTGATCACTTTTACTGGCAATAGTGATCACGCCTAGTCTGCACTTTCTTGGTCTTGTGTTTTTGGAGTCCAGACTTACTTCTTTCTTCTTCCTTGTCATCAAGCCTCTATTTTCATGAACCTTGCTCAAATTACTCCTTCAAAAACAAGATTAAAAACTTAATTCCTAAGCAAAAATTCCACAATTGCTAAGATAACTACAATTTTAAAGAAAACTTAAATTCATTCTCTTTTTCTGAGTTTTTCTGCTTTCTTCATATATTTTTCTTATCAAATGTGTTAGAATTATGCTAAAATATCAGTAAAAAATATGGATTCATCAGCGAGATACTGGGCTGTTCTCACTGCAGCAAGAGGATTCTCGCCGTAGCAAGAGGGCCCTGGGAGTAAGGACTGAAACTGTCACTTTCTCGCTGTAGGTAGAGACGTCTCGCTGTAGTGAGAGAGCGACAGTTTGGGGTGCATTTCTGGGTGCAGTCTCGCTGTAGCGAGATTCTACAAAAACCAGAGTGTAGTTTTCTTTGTTTTTTTGCTATAGCGAGAGGTCGTGACGCTGCAGCGAGAGGGCGTGACGCTGCAGCGAGAGTGTCATGACCAGAAAAGGATTTAAAAGGGGTTAGGTTTGGGGAGAGTTATTTCAGCCTCTCCCTTTGAAATTCATTTGATCCTTTCGTTCCTAAAGCCCTATTCCACCGATTAATTACCTCCAAAGTCGTTCGGCAGCGAGATTGGAGCTCGGATTTTTGTGGGGAACTCTTGGAGGTGAGTTTTAAACGGTTAGGGTTTTCGTTTTCCTTCCCTTTCTCTGTTCTTGGTGATTTTTGGAGTTCTCATGGAATTTTTCCATGTGTTTAGGCCAAAAGTCGTGTGGGGAGCATTTCCGTAGTTGAGTTTGGACGTGGGTCTTCAATCCAAGGTAAAGAGGGACTCTACCCTACTTCTTTATGTGTGATTTGCTGATATTTTGTGTGATATTGTGATGTGGCTGAGTAGAGGGTAGGAAATTGCTGAGATATGTGATGTAGGCACTTGTGCCGTTTATACACGTGTGTATATCTGAATGAACATTGTGAAAATGTGGGCTCGATGGTCATGTAATATGAATGGGAATAGGCTAGGGGCTATGTGTGCTGTGAAAATGAAAGGTGGGCCTAGTGCCGTATAGTTGAACAAATATGGGTCTAGTGTCGTGTACTGTTAAATGTGGGTTATGTGCCGTATATTGAAATGTGTGTGACTGGGGCGTAGTAGCACTGCTGTAATGTGCTATGAATGGTTCAGCGATACACTGGGGATGTGGGAGATGAGGACGGTAGAAATACCTTGGGGAAGAGGGAGTAGTGGTGACACTGACTGCAGAACGGGTGCACCACGGGTCACACACTCTCTTCTTAACTAGACCTCTGACCGCTATCTTTGTTGAGCGACCCATGACTGCCCACGTGGTATCTATGAGGCGCGGGTAACCAGCGACCATTTATGGTGTAAATCTGTGATTATACTACTATAGTGAATGTGGCTGGTATGCGTATGCATGGATTTTTGTTTTGTACTTGTGGATATGAAATGTTGCTTGTGATTGTGTTTGTTTATTGTATTGGAATGTTCTGGAGGTGAGACTCTACGTTTATTGTGTGTTTTGGGTAGTGTAGAGTACTCACCCTTACATTTATTTTTAAGGTAACCAAGACGATCAGCACCGGGCTCAGTAAAGGGACGGATGGACTGCTATAGGACTTAGAATTTATTTTGAAAACGTTGTAATTGAACTAGTCTTGTAGCAGTTATTTGATATTAAGTTGTAACCCTTCACTTATTTCGAAATCTTTTATAAAAATTTGGTTATCCGATTTGCGAAATCATTATTTTAATTGAAATTAAATTTAAGGTGTTACAACAAGAGAGACTAAGTTTCATTTTTTTGGTCTCTAAACCTTGCATGCAATTATTCCTTGTAGAAATAACTTTTCAACCATATATAGTGAGCTTAAATCTGACATCATTTGCCCACTCAATCATGTAGAGTATGTGAGTACCTTCATTCTTACGCTTTTATGCAAAAATAGTATAAAGAATCAAGTTTCATGCCCTCTATCTCTTTCAATTTAAAATTTTGATTTTCATAAACTACATGAAGATAGTTTTCCGACGCACTATCTTAAGCTTGATTCAGAGTTCGTTTCACCACTCAACGACTTGATCTCGTAAGTATGACCCAATCTGAATTTTGTTAATCCAATGACCACTGTTTTGCAATTTTTGGGGAAAATTCATATAGAGAAACTGACATGTAAACCTTCCATCTTGTTCCTTATTTTCTTAGCTTTCTAACGCACTTTGTCGCTCGTCGATCAGACTTTAATTGATCAAGATATGCGCCAAATGGTGATACGCATGCAAAGTTCAAAGCTTCATAGAAAGTCTACGTTTTTCACCTTGCATGCAATCTGTTCTACACATTTCACTTGCTAAACCTCCTTGTTTTTAATTGACCTTATTCCTTCATATAGTACACTTCATTAGCTTTTTTCCATAGTCACTTTCGGCGTAAGATTTGGAGCAAAGATCAAGGAGAAAAACTATTTTTATCATGCTATATCCGATTCTCAAAAATTTATGAAAACAGTGAAAATAATGCATTTTTAAATCTCTTTTCATCCAACTTTATGAACATTCATAAATACTTATGAAATCCTTGTAATTAGATCTTTCCAACAAGCTATCTTAAGCCCATTTTCAATCTCATTTGCTAAGTCGAAATGTCGGAACAAGCGGAGGTCTCATTTCAAAAATCAGCAGACACACTCTGCATTAATGTGAGTGCTACGACCAATTTGTATTTTCAAAAATTTGAATGAGTACATTTTTATAAACATAAATGTCTTAGCCTTCAAACAAAATTGGTTGGACTTGATTTGGATTACAAATTAATGAGATATGCAACTTTTAATGAAGCTGTCTCATAATTTCTTTTTCTCTGCTAACAGCAGCAAAAGTCTTCTTTTCGAACTACTTCCATGTGATTTTATTGACATGCATGCA